GATAAGCCATCCATGCAGGACTCTGCCAACAGGCTTCCCTTCTCCCCAAACTTGCCTGTTGGCACCCTTCTGCACAGGCGCGCCTACTAAACCCCCAAAAACTTGAGTGACTGTGCAGCCTACGCAACCGCAACTACGGGAACTGACAACTAAGTACGGTCGAATTCAAAGCGAACTTGGTCGCTGCATGAACTTATACCACGGGGCCAGCACGTCCGCCAAGGTGACACGCACCCGATTTGCCTCAGGGAACTTGGCCCTCATGACCAAGGGCCATGGCTTCGCTTCTGGGTGGTTCAAACGACTTAGCAAGTCAGCCTCTTCATTCCGCTCGCCTGCCACATGGGACAGCTCCAAGGCCACTTGTAGCTCCAAAGCCGCAAAAGCCAAGGCCATCAGCGCAAAGCACAGCGGCGGCGCAGTGGACATTCCCTTACTGCAAGCCGCGACCACTGGCATGTTGTCGCCATATTGTCGCAAGCGCACACAATGCAACTGAGCGTTCCCATCAACCTTTGCGCGAGCCAGAACCAGAGCCAGCTGCGCTAAAAGCTCCAGAGCACATATAGCTGCTTGCATCTTTTCCGGCCACAGCCAAAGATCGGGTAATTGGCCCTGCTCAATTTCCAGGTGGAACCAAAACAGTTTGTTTGACTCCAAGGCGCGAAACCAACCTCCTATGCCTGAGAGAGCAGACCCGGCCCAGGCATCCGCCGCAGCGTCCTCAGCCACCCTCTCACCGGCCCAAGAGAAACTGACAAGGTACAGCACCAAACTTTAAACCATGGAGCAGCTGCTCCTGTTACCAGCAAGCTGTCCAAACTGACAAGGTACACATTAATGCTAGGTGGGAGAGAGGGTTGGTGTTCCTGCCTACCCCGACCAACCGCGAACACCGGTACAGGCCTGAGGGTAAGCAGCAAGCTGTCGCACTTCACAACAGTGTAGAGCATTTATTATACTGTACATACAGGTAACGGTACAAGCATATAGAAACTCACCAAAGACTTTTGGGTACATGACCATCATGTGCATGCAGGCCTTGATTTTCGTTGGTACTCACCCAGTGCCTGAATTGTTCTTCACCCAGAGCTTCACCCCGTGCTTTGCGCACAGCTGGCGGGTCCAGGTGGCTCCGTTCCGAGTTCCGGTGGTTCCACGGGCCGCAGAGATCTTTCTCACTCCGGTTCATCGGTTCATCGGTGGGACGGGACACCGTTCGGTGACCAGGGTACATCTCGGGAACATCGGCAAAGCCAATCAAAGCCATATAGGTTTAAGGTGAGAGTTCTCTCATGGGTTTCTTGCAGGTTGTTTTCCTGCAAACCCAATTCTTTGACATGCAGGTGGTCCACTGAAGTTTCTGGGTCACATCGCTGTGGCTGCACCACGCACCACACCCCAGTCGAAGGGATTCACACTCTCTGAAATGATGGTGGTTACGTGTGGATGGCAAGGCCCCGAGTTCGTTTCAGATTTCCTCTACTGTTCCTCTACTGTTCAAGGTGGTGAGCTTTAGAACTTGCATGATGCTTTCAGGGAGATAATTGTCATGAATTCATATGAATTCTTTCAAAGCCATTTGCTTGAAGAGCTAGCTGGAGAATTGCAAGGAACGACCACGTTCTCGCAGATTTGGCACAGAAGTTTTCTAGCTTCGAATGCTAGCATATGCTACGACGCTACGAGTAGCTGTTCACAAACAAGCAGTGGCCATGCATGTAGGAGCTTGCCCTTCAAATCATGGGAGACTCCACTAGCAAATGGCGACGTGCGATTTAGTCACAGTATCCAATGAAAAGCATGAGGGGCCAAAGTTTGGGGCCTTGGCCATTCCCTCGTCGTGATCACATCACACTCTGTTCGACTACAAGCAGGTGGACACATGTTTGCATGTTGATCCATATCCCCACAAACTGTTGTTTTCCGATTCCCTCGAATGGTGGGAATGTTGGTGGACTTGGGGGGATGGCTCGTGTTCAACCGGCATGATGGCCTGCACTGATCTCTCGCTGTTGCTGCACAGCAACACATGCTGCGGCTACACTCTGGCTGGTTCAAATGATATACTGGCACAATACCAACGTTGAGCAATTGAACATGAAATTCCACAAGGTCCCCCCCATGGCAAATTCCGTTTGAGAAGCGGATGCCATTTATTTATGAGCGGGTGGCGGTATACAGATAATTCACTTCAGTAACGGTGGTCAGCGAGCTGAGTGCAACATGCATGTGACCCGCGCACTCTGAAGCTCCGTGAAATGCAATGAAGTCTTGGCATGTCTTGGTGCTAGCGCACATGTGTGTTGGGTACATCCTGCTCATGGACCATGAGGATGAAAATGGTTGAAGGTCACCTGATTACCAAAGAAACTGATGAGCTTTTACTGGCTGTGTCGATTGAGGATTAACTCCATTGAGGATTGACTCCAGTGCCCAGGTTACAATAAGCTGTGCTTGCTTCCAGCAACGGTGTTGAGGTTTGAAAGATCTTGAAAGTCAATGCGAACAAGAATTTCACCCGACTGTGTCTGTGTGGGTGGGCAGCACTTTTGCCGAGTCAAGTGATTCCAAACTTGCTGAGATTGAGCCAACAAATCTGTGCTCCTTCCATCATCTATATCTATCTATCTGATCTATTAATCTATCTATCTTTATCCATCCGTCTGTACGTCTATCCATCGCTCCCTCCCTCCGTCGCATCCCTCCGACCAAACCAACACCTCGACGACCGACGAAACCGAAAGGGGTGGGGTCGACCTGATTAGTTGCTAACGAACAGCGGATCAGCATGTGGTTTCTATGCGAACGAAGAACCGACCACGTGCTGCACAACGTATGCCATGCCCTAAACCAAACAACGTAATTATGCTAACGAACAACCGCCAGTCTAGAGCTCTCAGTCTCAGTTTCACCAAAGACTGTGCTGAACTTTGGGGAAAAGGAGTTTGTGAAAACAATATGATTCCATTCCATCGATGTACCTGTTCTCTCTGCATGGGTGCCTGTTCTCTTTGCCCCTTCCGCGCGGTTCCGCACTTCTTCCACTCCTGGCGCTTTTCCGTGCTCGAGACTCGGTCGAAGTGATGGGCGCGCCTGTCAGGGGCGGAAAACCCTTGATTCAACCTACAGGTACCTGGACCTTCACCTCCCTCTACCTGGATAGAGATCAAAGCCATTACCCACACAGCCTGTGTGCTTCTGCACACCTGAGCACCTCTTCCAAACCAGTCGTTTCGCCTCTTCCAAAGCAGTCGTTTAGCAGGTCCCAGGATCCAAAGGACCTTCAAACTGAGGTTTTCCAGGTCCGAGCTTTCAGGGACACGGAAGGTTGTGAAAGCCTCGAACGGAACCCACTGAGCGGATGAGTGCGAGTCCGAAGCTGATCATCCACGACCCAGGACCTCAAGTCCTCCCTGAATTCGTCGCTGGTTACTTGGCATGGCATGGCCCCTTCGATGTTAATGATATGAGGGAGTGTAAGTCCAATACCCTGGACATCGTGCAAGCAGAAACCATGCAACATCACCAAGCATAGTTCCACCAACGATGAGGGTCATGGTGGCTGAACTCCAGCTGATGCATAGCGTTGCGTCGTCTCCTCAGGTGGCTGAACTCCGCTTCAGATGATCCCAGCACTAGCAAGGGGCTGGAGAACTCTCTGTAGCTCCTTGGGGAATATGGATACCCCCGGCTCCGAATCGCTCCCTCCTGAGCAAGAGCTACAGTCAGCTACAGCTATAAAGGCACCCTTTTTTTTCTCGTCTTGCTGACTCAGCAGCCATGCCACAGGCGGTTTCTGTTGCTCTGCATGCCATGACCATGATCCCACAGCCGTCGATCCGCAGGCTGCGTGTTCACACGGAGCATGACCGGAACTGGCGATCCGCGCGGGGGTGTCAGGCTGAAATTCCGGGCATCCCCAGGCGAGTGTGAGAGGTGCAAAGTGAGTGCATGGAGGCTTGGAATGCAAATCTTCGACATGGTTTGTGTTAGCAAATATTCGGATCTTTGACATCCAGGGCTGCCCCCCAAGTTGTATTGCTGTTGACATCCCCCCCCAGTCGTGCGAATCCTCTGAAGGCATCTGTGGCACAGGCGCGCTCAAATGGGTCAACTCAAACGGGGTGATCCACCTCCAACAAGGTCAAGATCCATAGATGTCCTTTTTCTTGAAGCAATTGAGAGAGGTATTTCCAGCTGCCAGAGGCAACTTGACCAGGTGGCCATTCTAGCTGCCAGGTCGGTAACTTGACCGCAAGGCGGCCAATAAAAACCCATGTCACCGTGCTCGAAGGACACCTATGGTCAGGTTCACCCAAGATCTGTACAAATCGATGGATTGCTGCCTGTGTCGCACGGCAAGAACGCCATGGTGTGTGACACTCCAGGCATGATGATACGCCACAACGGGCAAATGCCTCAGCCCACTATTGAGTGCCGAGGTTTGGTGATGTTAGGTGTTCAGGCGTTCACCCACACAAAATATGTTGTGGGTGCACCTGTGCAAAGTCCCAGTGTCCCCCAAATCTCCTACCCCAGGCTCTGCCCTCATAGCAATAGCAAGTAGGAAACAAACATCAAAGAATATATAGCAGAGAACTCAAAACGACAGCATAGGCCAGGGGCGTGAAGAACCTGGACTTTCCTTGTTCGGACCGACCATCAAACCAACTGATGAAACGCAAACAGTCATAAACAGTCTCAAACAAAAAAAACAGCGCCCTTCACAGGAAAGGTCCCTTCACTCGAACGAAGACGCAAGAAACTTCATGCGCTTCCTCACTGCTGCTCGAGGCATGCTGCCACCCCAGGGATGGTCTGAATCAGGACCTGCCGTGATGGCAGTCTACTGCCATCCAAAGAACTCAATATACAATAACTAGATGACTTGTATAACAAATCCAGACAACTCAGGCAAATCTAAGACTCAATATGACCAATCGATTTCCGGACCCTTTTGGAGTTTCTGAACCGACCCACGACCCACTTCTGTTTGGTGTGTTCAACGCTCGGCACCTGAGCGTCCACCTTGGGGTGCTTCAGCAGGGTCCGGACCACATAGGAGCCGAAGTCTGCTTTGGCCAGTTCCGAGATCTCAGAAAACACGGCGCGTTTCGCGTGTGTCACACCACACCGCTGGGCGCGTGCGGGAAGATCCAAAGGCCTTTTTGGTATGTTTTTGTGGTGGTGCTGGCCCTGGATCTGCTGCTTTTCCTTCTATTGGGGAGATGCGGAATTTCGTGTTGGGCGCGTCGTGTCGGTCATGTCGTGTCGGTTTTTCGGACCGGACGCGACTCGCGTGTTCCACCGGGAGCTGGTCCAATCGAGTCCTTCTCGTCGACTCGCGTCGCGTTTTGGGTCCGTCGTCGGGTCCCCACTGGGTCGCCCCACGATGCCCGGTTGGAGGAGAGCTTGCACCAGCCGATCTTGGTCCTGACGCGGGGGCGCCTGGTGGTGGGGGGGCTGAGGACGAAGTCGGACCTCTTCAGCTGGACGAAGTCGGTGAGGTGCTGCTCAGGTGGCTCGTTCTGTGAATCGGCGAGTCCACCGGAGTGAATTCTGTGCGAAAGCACGGTCTGATGTGCAAAATCACTGGCACAGTCGGCTATGGGATCACTTCTATATAGATGGTCTATGGGATCTGCCTTTGATAGATCCAACGAATTAGAGTAAGAATAGGCTACTACTGTTGTTCAGTATGTTCCGAATTATTGAGTTGTGAATTCAACAGAAGATATGTTGCAAGAATCGCAAGAATTGGTATTGTTTACTTATAATATGTTGCAAATTATCTTCTTTGAAGTACCATCACCTCTTGAGCAGACAGGACCATCAACTCTGAAGCACCAAGTGGTCAGGAGCTTTGTATAATTAGCAAGGCCTCCGTTCGATGAGTTCTTGGGGATGCTTCTCTTCGAACGGAACATCTAACATCTTCTAAAAGGATTGGATGCTTTCACCTCTATCGCATGTTTTGAGGCCTGTCAATTGCTTGCAGCCCATCCAAGCAAGACCAACTCACCACCCCCCAGCTCACCAAACTCATCTAACACGCACATCAACAAGTGAAACTGAACATCAAAATAACCAACTCACCAACTCAACTACATCCCAGACCTGCAAATCAACTCCTCCTTTTCGACTCACTCCCCCGTCCTCGGAGGAGCAGTTCCTTACGGAACCGTCGGACGCGGTCTGACCTGCTGGAGGTGACCTGAAAAAACCTCTGCCTAAGAACGAATCGTCCACAAGTAATTCATTGACAATGTGTTTGGTTCATATCAATGAATTACTTAGTTAATACGCTTAAGATGAATAAACAAAAATGGAAGCACCCGGAGATGAAGAGGTGGCTTGAATTCAAACGGGGGGGTTATGAATCAAGAGTGTCCCAAACTGAACAATGTTTTTCAGGAACCTGATATCAAGTGGTACAACTTCTTCCTCATCCAGATCAACCCATGCGTCAAGAGCGCCCAAAACATCCCAAAACCGGCGCTGTCTCTGACCCAAGAGTCTTGAGGGCTGCCTCGACCACGTAACTGGAGGAGCGGTGAGAGGCATTGCTTAGCACATCGCGCAGCAGGACCTGCGCAATCATCTCCTTGTGCCTTGGGGAAGAACACGAGGTCGACATGATTCAAGCCGATCTCTTGCTGTTCTTCCTTAATGTCTGTGCATGTATACTAATTGGCTTTGCTTTGCTTACTGCTTTGTATAAAGTGAACCACTCCAACTCCTCGGTCCAAACCTCCTCCGGCCCCGAACGAACCCCCCAGAACCCATCCGAGTGGCGCGTCGTCGCCGTGCTCCAGGATCGACTGGACCACGTGATGTCCAAAGTTGTGACGACACAAGTCGATGGCCTCACCGGAGCGACCGAACCGCCGACCGACCCGCCGACCGGCGCGGCGGCCGAACGCCGAACACCACGGCACCGGTTTGGTCGATGGTCCCCGGTTTCGCCCGGGTGAGACCGGGTGGAAATGTTCATGACTGCATTGGGGCGATGGGTGGGCAAAGTCAAATGGTATGTTAACATGTGTGTGGTGTGTTTTACTCATTTCAGGATTTTTAAGAAAGAAACTTGTGTTCATTTGTGTTCAATGTTTGGCTCCACTACGACCATTAGCCGAGCACATTGTTGTGGCGTGGTACTTGTGCCAGTTGTCAAACGTGGGTGGTTTTTTGTGAACCTGACCAGCCTTTGACACCAAAAAAAAGAGGTTGCCCAATGGTCCATGATGACTGGATCAACTAAATGGCAGCTGAACAAATGCTTCAGTCTGCAAGGATGGCAGCTGCTCTGTCTTATACATCTGAAAGAACCGCAACACCATCTCACACCCAATTTTGTTGAACACACTTTAATAAGCAGGTCCAGAGGTTTTACATGGTTTTTCTTAATTGCTCTTCAATCCCCAATCCACAAAATGTTGGCTAACTCGTTTTGGTTGGATATTTATACCTATAAAGCAAGGCAACACTAAACATCAAGTATATACAGTACATACAGATTAACGTCTGATGTGGTTTCCTGGTTCTCCTCGTGAGCATAGCTTGCAACGTGACCGTGATCCCTTTCCATCACCTCCTTTCCTTCTTCGGCTCCTGATGCTCCTCTCCCCCCATCAGTGCCAAACAAGCCCGCCAACCCACCCCTCTGAAGCCTCGTCGGGATCTTCCAGGAGCTTCTGGATGAGCTTCCGGGTGCTCTCCTCGACGCTCAGACCAGAACCGAAACCGATCGAGCAGCCGTTGGTTGGATGACTCGGTCGGCATGGTCGAAGCGGGGTTCTGGTTCGGCAGAATTGGAAGGAAAGAGAGCTGCCGGGTCTGGTTCGGCAGAGGGTAAGTTTGTTGCTGCCGGGTTGGAAAAAAGAAGCTGGCCAAAAGATTGGATAGAGGGTTTGGGTATGTTGATGGACATCCTATTATCCTATGATACCATGGCACTTCACTTGGGCATTTGAATACACTTGATGGATTGGAGGAGGAGGAGGAGGAGGAGGAGGCGCTTTAACATAATACTTTATGGCTAAGATTGGAAATTGCCATCTACTACTCTGAACAGCAAAACGAACGTCTCCCCAAAATAGATTGATCCTGATGCAAGTAGGCGACCCTATTTGAGGCCTAATTATCATGGCCTATGAAGGTCCTTTCTCAGCTCTTCGATCTCTCCCTTCTGAGCTCTGCTCCTCCCGGGAGCAATGCTCCACCAGTCGGCACACGATGCGGCATCCAAAACGATGTCGGGCCTTGACCACGTGGGGCGAACGGCGAACGAAGTCTGACATGAATATACCTTGTTCGGTGGCCGTTGGCCTTTGGCCACCAAACCTCACGTTTAAAAGGAACAGCACAACTTGCAACATACTTGCAGTGTCTGATAGTCATCTTTCCCACAACATCCCACGACATATTGCATGTATGGTATTTGAGAATCAAGTCCCTGGGACTTTCGAGTGCTTGTACTGTCAGCCTATGACCTGCAGGAACTTGAGCGATGACTTTGCAAAATGTTGTTGCTTGTAACTTGACATGGACGGCCGAGAATGCCAGGCCAAAACAACAAGATAGGCACCATCCAACTTGAGGGAGTGCCAGGCCATGCGCTTGGCTAAGGGGTGAACATGCTCTTGATGAACACTCACACCCACACACCCACATACTGGCACCTGGACAGGCCGAACGATGAGGTGCCAGGTATTACGTTTCGAACTTGCCCTTGTGGGAGCCATCTAGGTTGAACTACCAGGTTTGGGCTCAAGCAGTGCGACCCAAAATGAAACTGGTTTTCCCAGAAACATGTTGGTGGGTTGCAATCGTCTTGCTTTGCTTCAATCCCTCAACTGGTCTAGTCTAGTTCTTGAAACCGCTCAGTGTTCGAACATATTCGATATCTTTAGCATCTCCAAGCTCTAGCAAGCAATGATGTCTTTCCGTCTGTCATTGCTGCATCATTGTCAGCTCCAGCTTCAACGATCAATTTCACGACTTCCAAATCGCCATTCGGAAGGTCGCAGTGCTCCAAGCTGTAATCTGTCAACATTGACAGGGTGACGCACCACAAACCATACCGTGGCGGCTTGTTCGCTCTGTGACAAGCCAGTTTGCACAGCTTCGCATCCAGCCCACGCCACCTGCCGACAAGAATGGCGCCAGCACATGTGTTGCTGGGCGCGAGCTCTGTGTGGTACATGGCACTGCTCGGCAAAATCTGCTTTCTCGAACTGGGCCCACGTTGAAGTGTTGACAGCGAACTGCACGGCCAGGCAAGAAATACGCTACAAACACACGCTGGTCACCTCACAGCTTGGCCTGGCAGCTCTAGTGCAGCTTGGGCCTTACACAAGCCCATGTCTTTGACCCAGCCATCAGGACAATCTGCTCCAAAGTCCTGTATCAAACAAGCGTGTTGAGGCTTTCTTCACGAGTTGAGCCCCAGTCCATTGCGCAAGATGTTCGTTGACATGGCCATTCAAGCCTCCACCCCAGAAAATGCCACAAGCGGCGCATGACAAACAACCCTTTGCTGCACGTTTGCCCGCACGTTCGCTGCAAGAGCTGCTTGTCTCTTACCTTGTTGGCCATAAGCGATGCATTTCAAACTCTTGCCATTCAAACCACTTGCATTACATGTGACCAATGCCTAATGACTTGAGAGTTGGTCAGGAAGCAACTCTCCAGCGGGCTCTCATTGTCGCATTACTTGTAAGCCAAGAAGCGGTCAGCTGCTCCACATCATACCTGTCGCGGGTAGAGGAACTCAACAGACAAAGCTGTTTCACCAGTCAACTGGCTTGGCAGGGTTGCCCGCACCTTCTCGCAATCGCATTGACAAAAGCTGGTCAGTTGCACTGCATCACGCACACAAGCAAGAAGTGAGTCTGACCCTCCCCTGGTGATCTCATTGGCTGCTGGCAAAAAAGGCATTATTTTCACTCTGGAAGCTGCACTTCTATCACTGCCGTGGCCCCGTCAGGAATAAACGGTTTCTGATTTTAAAGCCATCAACTCGCCAACAGCAAATCTCGCTTTTGACGCCACAGCACATGGCCAACGAGCCTGGCATCACTTTCGCTGCCACGAAGCTTGTCTTTCCGGCCCTTTGCGGTAACATGCCCTTGATGCAGTTGCTGCCGCATAGTTGCTGAGTCGCTCACAACCAAGTGTTCACACGCCTCTATCGAACACACCATGGTCTGCCCACTGCCTGAACTAGAACAAGCCTTCAGCTTCTAGCTCAACCGTTCATTCTCCGAGGCTGCAAGACCTGTGTGAGCGCTGTCTTCTCCTGTGACCTGCACCATCAACTTACACACTGCCAGGTCGCTGCTCGCGTCAAACTCTGTCCTCTAGAACATGGACTGTGATCGAGCCTCCTGGAACCCAGCGATCAACCCAACAAGCACGTCAGATAATTGCAGCGTTTGTGTTGGTGTTATCAAAGAATCACCCTGCAGTTGGTGCAGCCTGATCACCGACGATGTCCCAAGGCATCACTTTTTCAGCAAACACGCCACGAAGCTTCACAAGACAAAGCACCAACAAAGCACCATGGGTCCTCAACTTCAATGGTCCGCATGCTGACAAGACAATGGGGCCTGGATGTTCCCCACGAGTCAGTGTCCTTCCTCTCAAAGTCAAAACGGATGTCCAGCGTTCTGGGATGGGTTTCTTCAGTTTGATCGACTGTTCATTCCTCACTATGTGTCCTACTCATTGGACACTAGAGACTGTAGTGTTTTATCTCTATCTTGTTGTGAAACATGCATCTCGTGAGCAAGGTTCGCTGCAATACATCATGTGCAAACATGTGCTAGCTGGGCTAAATATAGGAATGCAAACCCAAGTTTCCTTCCGCCATACTGACCCTTTGGGTGCACTATGTACTCGGCAGGTACTTGTTGAAATCACATGTACTTGAGTGGTTCCAAAACCTACATGCCCTCTTTGCAGAGTGACGGCGCACAAACACATCTCAAATTTGACCTCCCAAATATTGGTGAGTCGTCTAATTTTTCCTGGCTGGCATCGTGTTTCCCAAGTTATCTGTCCTTTCATTCTGCATTGTCCGATCTTTTCCTAGATTTGGTGTTCCCCTAGATTTGGTTTTCCTTAGGCCTGTGTAGATTCTTCTAGATTTTCCTAGATTCGCCCAAGAGAACACAAGATGCAAACAAGTCCATAGGGAGATGAATGGCCAAAAAGGCCATCAAGTGAAGGGCTACATCCGAGTTAGGGATGTCACATAGAATTCCCAAACGCTCCATGTATGGCATATATTTACATACATTGACCCCAGGTCAACCACCCCAACGTCGGTGAATATGCCAGTCCCATGGAGTGTCTGGGATTCTTTTCGCGAAGCACTTCATGTGGCCGCCCGGAGGCCCGGAGGTGCGGACATGCGCCACCCGGATTCTCGGCAAAAGCGGGTGAGGTTTCCTGAGGTGAAACGCGCCGGCTTTGTGAATCACCAGACGTTGCAGAGGCCAAACTCATCTCAGAACCCTATTCACTTTCCCAGCTTTGTGGATGTTCCACCCCAAAACCATCCATTGTCCACGCATGGCATATTTACCTCCATTGGTGTGGCTTCAGGGTGAATGTAGATAGATAGATACATAGATAAATAAAATATGTATGTATGGGCGCGCGAGTGCTTTTCAGGCCCCCCTGTAGATGATAAGATATAGTAGCACATAACGCGCCCATATATATATATATGTGTGTGTAAACTGTAAACTGATACAAAAGCATGGCACACAGACTGCATAGAACTTTTAATACGCCCAAGTTCTCGACACTCTACTCTCTACAAGTGCAAAGCTGCATTGATATTCTTCATAGATTGAATGATGCGCAGACAGCCGCCCATATCTTCGTGGCGGTGAACATCTTCTAAGCTCTTGAGGTGTGTCAATACGGTTTTCAGTTCTAATTTGCGCCGCTTGCTACGATCAGATGACAATGAAGATGAGCTAGAAGACGAAGATGATGAAGATGCCGCATTGGCCTTACCCTCCTTGGGCTCTGCCTTGTTGTCGTTACCCTTCTCTGACTGTGTCTCAATGATCTTGTCCTCTTCAGTCTGATCTCACTGACTTTGTCTTCCTCTTTACCCTTCTCAGGCTGTGTCTCAATGACCTCGTTCTCTTTTGTTTGCGTCTCATTGAAGTTGTCATCCTTTGGCTGCGTCTCATTGATGCCATCTCCTCAACGATGTTGTCATCCTTTGGCTGTGATTCAACGGCTTCTGAGCAGGAAGGATTGATCTGTTAGCAGATGAATTGCGTGAATTGCAATGACATTGCGTAGATGTATGCAGCAGATACAGTTGGATCAAATGATTCAACATAAAAATTCTTCCCAAGAGGGCCGAAAAGTCCACGAGCCCATATATATATATATACCATACAAGTGTCAGGGGCATGTCCAACAGATGACTGGACCCTCCTGGCGCCTACAAAACAGATCATAACAGTATAGTGACTCGATCACATCGCCTTCTGGATCCCTAAGGAATGCGATACACATCATCTGCAATTGACCTTTGATGCTTTGCCGTTGCTGTTGATTCGGCTCCCATGAAGCCCCGTGACAGTTCCGGCTCAGTGTCCCGGCAAATCGGGGCACCGTTGCCAACAGTTCGTCGGCAATGAACGCTGAGGTCGGCGAGCTCAACTGTTCAATCACCTGCCAAAGATGCCAAAGGGCTGCGCACAGGTCGAACATGTCAGGTTTGGACACCACATAGACCGGTTTTGAAAGGATGCAATGGACGACATTGCTGCTGGCGATCGTATCAAAGGTTTCCTGGGGTGGAAACACCGTTGAACATCCACGGGACAATTGCGTGTTCCACCGCAAATGGGTATAGGTTGGGTCTATCCTATTACCAGTAACAGTGGATGATGATGGTTATTAAAGGACTTGTTGCTGTTTACTGACTAGACTGTTTCGGGTAATAGGACAGACCCAAGGTATAGGCTATAGGAATCTGCCCAACAGTTGTTGACTCTTGGTGGGGTTCTCTCTTAGGACCTAAGTGCTTGGTGGCCATGGTTGTTTTGTATTGTTTTGTAATGTTTGAGATTGTTTGAAGGGTGGGGAAGGAGAACATTTGCCATCCGCAACGACAACCATGTTTGCTGATGGCCGATGAATCAGTTTCGTGTCTACGCTGGTAAGTTCTTTTGCGGCACATGCCCACAGTTTTTGTGAGCACCTGCTTTGCAATCTGATGGAGCGAACTGTCCAAACAAACCTACTCTCACATTGTGAGTTGAAGATGTGTCCCCGAAGAATAACCAACGCCAATCTACCCGGCACCAACCAAAACTGGTCACAGGTTAGTCTGCCAGCTGCATCAGCGACCGAAGTGAGTGATTTGTGATTACAGTAGTAGAAACACAGGAAAAATACATTCGGACAACTAAAGCCTGCCTCCTGGGATGTTGCTTTAGCTGCAACAAGGGCACCCAAGGCGTGTCAAGAACATCTTGCGCTTAAGGCTGGGGGCTTTGATGCTCGGCTTCTGGCGTGCTGCTTGGATCAAACTTCCCGGCTACAGCCCGACAACAACAACCATTTGGAAACACATATAAGTAAGGTAGCATGCTTTCCTCAAACGAGTTGTGATTGAATTCGCCAGTGCTGAGCTAGAACATGCTGTTTGTCACGGACTGCTCCATGATACAAAACACTTCAGCATAATCTCAACTGCCAGCTGAACAGTGGCCCCTGACAAGCTTGTCTCGGGAGATAGATCTCGGCAGTAGGTTGCCCAACTTTGCAACGCTAAGCCACAACATATTGCAACTGGTACTGGCCGGCAAGCGCCTCAAGGTACAACAAATGCATCTTTTGCCAGCATCGCAGGTAAGTGACAAATACTAGAACAGCCTAGTAAGGTTATAACAAGGTCCCATCGCTGATTGATCGTGATTTGCCCAGAAGCGACTAACACCATGAGAGATACCATGAGGACCTACCAGATAGCGGCTTTGAACATGAAGGTGCCCTTACTTACTCACTCATTGGATCATGGCTGCTCATGCAACTCTCGGCTTCGCACCGTAAGGTATACGGCGTCACCGTGCGATAAATGGCAGATAATAACAGAGCCCTCATTCCACGTCCTCATTCCGTACCCAAACAGAGTCATTTCTTGCAGCCTACTAGTATGTTGGAGTGAAGCACACCAATGCCCAGCAAAAAGACTGAGGCAGTGAAGCAAATGTGGCTCCGAAACCTGACGGAACCGGTGATCTTTGATGATCTTTGTGTCTAAATGTGTCTCAAACCGAGAGCACTGTTTTATGTGGGTTGCCACGCAATATTCAACCATCGGCATGGGCTGCCTGTTAGAACAACAGAACCAGCAATGAGCCAAGCAAACATCCGGAGCCAAGCAATGGCGTTTCACCAGCCATTGTTGCCTGTCTTTGATGATGTCCATGGCTTGGGGAAAAACAGCTTGCCAATGATGTTGTCATCGTGCTGTTCTCGCTCTTGTTATTGTTCTTCTTTTTGTTGCTCAAGACTCAAGTTGTTCTTGTTCTTGGTGTTTGCTCTTCTTCTACGCCCACTACCACAAGCACCGACCACAACACACCAGCACAAAAGAAAAACAAACTATCCCACAACCAATAGAAAAGTTTCAACACATTCCCCAATTCAAACCATCACCGTATATTTCACCCCATCCTTAAAACAAAAAAACCTCACTCTCAGCTCCATCCTCTGCCCTCCTCCCAGCCCCTGACCACATAACGTCCCGGCGCGTGTGGCGCGAGGCGAACGACGTGGCCGCGGCCGGCCGCTCCTTCTGCAGCACGTAGTTCGCGTGCGGCGACTCCGCCGCCTCGCGCACGTGGCCATGGAGCTCTTGAGCAATCGCCTGGTGGAGGACACCGATGGAAACGGAAGAGGTGCAGAGTTTGGGGGTCATAGCACATGGTTCGGTTCACCTGGCATGTTATAGTATGTTTTTGTGAATGAAGTCATGTTCGAGAATGTTCGACTCCAACCTTTGTGCAAAGGCTCGCTCTAGTAACAAAGGACGTGTCAATGTTGTGGCTTTGTAATGTTAAATTCAAAAGGAAAACAGCAAAGGAACTGAAAATCACAATATATTGAATGTCACATCTTTTTTTTTTTGCTCGTCTTTTGGTGCTCTGCGTTTGGCTTCTCATGCGAACATTTCTCGCAGGTCTCGACTCCGCTGGAAAACACACCTTTGGCGTAAGCGGGTCGTCAACTGAATCTTCTCGTCGATGATCTTGGCCCTCGCGTGGCATCGACTGCATTCCACGTTGCGACCCTGTCTCTGCATGGTGTGCGAGACGTGCCCTTCCCACAAGCTGCTCTCCAGCGGTCCCGTGTAGCATGGCTCACTGACGAACTTGGTAAAGGCCTCTTCGTTCGTCCTTGCCAAGATGTAGCTTTTGCAAGCCAAGCACCGAAGGTATGCACGATCCAACTTCAGGTGGTGCACGCCATGCTGTTGACGAGTTTGGGAGGCCACCAGAGCGTGAATCATCTCCATCCTGGTCTGCTTGGGCTGAGAGAGCTTGGGTGCTTTTTTCGCAAGGCTTCTCCCCCGCTTCTTTAAGCTCAACCAAGAGACTCTTGCTGTGGTATCGAAGCTTGCAGTGACCACAGCGAATGCCACTTCGAAAGGGCTCCCATGCATGTCCGTTGGGAGAGTCTTTGGCAAGTAGATCAGCAAGGATTTCCTTCTTCTGCTGGATGAGTGGGACTTTATCCTGCATGACGGCTTCCTTGCGATGCAAATAGTGGTCCTTGTTCTGGAGCAAAATGCTCATCCTTTCCCCGGCCTGCAACAAGATGTCATGAGCATCGTTGTCAACATGGGCCTGCATGTCAAGAATCTCAGTGGGTTCGAACAATTTGCCGGTGCGAAGGGCCAACTGTTGCGTGTCTCTCTGGGTGATCCTCCGGAGTTCATTCTGAGAAAGCTCCTGCTTGGAGAAAAGGAGAGGCCACACATGGTCAAAGTCCTCGAACTCCAGCCCCGGAAAGAGATCCGGAAAGGTCTCAAAGGCCACATGAGGTTTCCAGGCCTGCCACACCTTCACATCATACAGGGCCACAGGAGTCTTCTCAGTGACATGAAGTGCCAACTGCTTCAATGCGTAGAAGAAAGCCCTCCTGCGCGTCGCAGGAGCAGGGCAGATGCCTGTAATGGACCCAATCTGCTGCTTGGTCTTGGTGTGATGGACACAGACAGCAAAGGCAAAACGTCGATGCCTCTTGTCCCCGCAAGTGGGTGCCACAGCAATGGAGCAGATGTGACTTTTGTCAGCCCTCAAGAGGCCAAGATCTCCCCACAAGCCTGTGCCTTCGATGGTGGCCAGACCTTCTTCTGGCTCATAAAAGATCTTCTGAACAAAGCCCCGCTGCCAAAGCTCGGGATCAGTGCCCGCTTGCAACCGATTGACCCATTCAGAGGATAACTCTTTGACCCTGCCTTGCCAGAAGGAACACTCCCAGAGCATGTGAGTGAAGGTCAAGTCAACTCCACATAAGGGACAATGGCCAGAGACTCCATGTAGGGCGCCTTGATGAAAAGCCTGAAGTCCTGTTGCCAGGGAGTCACTTGTGGTCCGCTGGATGTGCAAACTGATCATCCAATCCAACTGCCTTTCCATGTCGTGGCAACCTTCATATCGGGTCAAGCGCAAAAGCCGTTGCCAGCGGAATTCCTGCTGGAGCTGAGAGTGGATGACCGGCCATGGATCCAAGAGGGAAAGCAAACAGTCCGGTATCCCGCCGTAGCCGGTGCGCTTCCATTTGTGGCCATTTGAGATGTCAAACTCCATGTCAAGCAAGTATGCCTGAAGGGCCTGAAGAGGGCCAGAAACCACCTGCCATTTGTACCTGGCTTGTTGGAGAGCTCCCAGTGCGGTGTTCCAGCTGGTCCAGAAGAGATGCTGCTTACTCTCATCAAAGCGGTGGAAGACCTTCCAGACTGTGTGCAGGTGTTGGAGGATGATGGAATCCCCGGGATCTGGCTGGCCATCATTCATATCATAGACCACATCGACTGACCCGGTCCGCTGTAGTTTGAGTCCTCGAGCAGCTAAGACCCGGAGTTGCTGGCGTCTTTGAGGGGCCAGTCCATTGGCTTGAGCTCCCCAAGACATCACCGGGTGAATGGCCCCTTTGTGCAGCCTGTAGCGAATGCCCGTGGTCAACCGAAGGCGATGAAGGATCCCAACTCGGCCTTTGCCCTTCAAGAAGCGCTTTTTGATCTGAGGGACCCGGCGCCTGCGACCGGCAGTGGAGTCAACGCCCAAGTCTCGCAGGACATCATAGTGCTCTGGATCACTGTCCGTCAGCAAGGCCTTTAAGGCCCTAGCAGCTTCTTTGGAGCTTGTGAGGAAGCCGTCTTGTCCGTGTTCAACTTCAAACCAGCTTCCTCCATCTGGTACTTCATGGTGCGGAAAGCACTCAAAGCTTCTCGAGCTGCGAAGTCTGGGTCCCGGCTATGGATGTCAAAACTGACATCGTCCACCCACGTCTGGAGGTTGGCAGCCGGATGATTGGTGACCATGACCTTGAGGGGCTTGAAAAGGATGAGCTTCGAGATGGCTGGCGCCTGAGGGCATCCTTGAAGAATTCCCTTGTCATAGTGCTTGGCCTCTCCGTTGATCCCTTCAGCTTGGATGGTCCTTGGCCCTCGATAGACGTCCAGTGCAAACTTGAGGTGCAAGGGCGGATATGCCAATTCACGGGCGGGTTCGATGATGGCATCCAGGTCAACATGGTCATAGAAGCAAGTGAGGTCTGCTAAGCAAGTGACCGTGTGGATGCCTTGATGACGTGCAATCTCAGCGTACAGCATCCTCCCGATGGCAATGCTCAAACAGTCACGCCCGGGCCTAGCTTGGTCCCAAGGCAGGTGGTCATCCAAGGAAAGCTGCCACCTCTGCAGGTCCGCCTTTCTCGCACGGCACCAGACCCGATACAAACAGCTGGTGAGGGCAATTGGTCTCTCGACCTTCTCATTTTTGGGTATGAGAACGATGTTGGTCACCCTCAGTTGCAAAGCCAACTCGCCTTCGCGCTCCATGGAAGTGAGCAGACCAGCCAGTTTCTCCACCGCTGGATAAGGCAAATGCCGAAGGAAGTCGTAGGAAATGCCATCGGGTCCAGCCGCCTTGTTGGGCAGGTGGCGAAGTAGCTGTTGTAGTTGATGGGACTGAATGGGAGGTAACTGCTCCGCTTGATCAATGGCAGCGGCCTGTAGCAGATCCCATTGCCGAAGGGGACGAGGATCAGGGCGAGGGTGCCAAATGTCCTCCCATTGAGCTTGTCGTGCTTGTTGTCGTTCTGCCAGTGGCAAATGTTTGAAGGGCCTTTGCCATGGAACATCTTTCTGCCTGAGACTCCGGAAAAGGCCCCTGAGGCCCTTCTGATGAGCCTTCTCCAACCAGAGCTTGTATTCCTCGCTGGAGGTGTGGAAGATGGCCTTGTGGGCGAGCTGCTCCTCTTCAGCTATGATGCGCCGAATCTCCAGAGGCTCATTTGTGGGACGCTGGATCCAATGCTTCAGGAGGGCAGTGAACAAGTCCTGGCTCATCCCGTCCGAGGCATGCTGTGAAACTGCCTCCAGCATATTGAGCAGGTCCTGAGCAACTCGAGGATGCTGAGATTGATGAACCACATTGACTCGCACCTTCATCTTCTCCCAGAAGGCAACATGTCCTTTCTTCCAAACTTGTGACTTGGTCTGATCGACCAGAGGAGCCTGGAACATGGAGATCCGGGATCCCCTTCCTTGTGTGGGTGTATGGAGCAGCTGAGTCAGGTATTTCTCTGTCTGCGTAGCCCATCGAGCAAAGTCAGAGCCAATGCCAGTGATGGGTTGACCCATGATGTGGAAGGGACCGTCGTCTTCCCAAAAAACTGGTCCAGGTAGCCGGCAAAGGGTGGGTCCGTCCGATCGGAGGAAAACGCTGTAGTTGTTGGACAGAGACAGCCGCATAGTCACAATTGAAGGTCACATCCAGAGCACAATGAGGCTTCCATGGCACATCCCAATTTGCCTGAACCTGAAGACACGGCGCCAAGGTGGAGGAGACCAGCAGGAAGTCCAATTGAGATCCTTGCAAGGTGGTGGGTCCTGGTGTGTCTAAGATCTCCGCTTTGAACTTACTCTGTATGACCGTGGCCGCCAAGGCTCCAGGTTCGTTCTGCCAGTCTCCACCCACAATGAATGGAGCTCGAAGATGTCCCAGGTATGTGAGGAGATGAGCCAAAAGGTCGGCATTGTGAGGGGACTGCAAGGTTTCCCCGGTGCGCAAGTACAGCTGAATGATGAAGATCATCGTGTCCTGCCTCTGCAAACCAACGGACATCCAGCCGTTACCTTCTTGGAGGTAGTGGTGATCCAGATGGGTCAAATGCCGATTGCCATGCAAAGTGAGCATGCCTCCGGTGGTCCCTCCTCGTCCAGTATCAGCAGCCGGGAGACCATGTGTTTTCCAGCCTCTGGCAGTGAAGTATTGCTGGGCCTCGTTGAGCTTCTTGGGACCCAAATGAGTTTCTTGCAGAAAGAGAAGGTGGTCTCCTTTGGTCCAGATCCAATCCTGAACGCGAGCTCCAAAGAAGGTCACATTCCCAAAGATGAGGTGCAAGGTCTCGTAGTGATGCTTGGCCTTCTTGGGCTGACTGGGTGCCAGAGCTTCAACGGCGTCCGGTACGAGCTCGCCCTGATTGTCATGAATCAGCCAGAGTTGGACAACCTCCTTTCGTTGCTGATCCGAAATGTTGGACAAGGGAACAGGATACTGATCATCATCGGCGAACCAGTAGGTGTTGTCCATGGCATGGATGCACACATAGTGCCCGTTTTCATGCCCTTCACCTTGATGCAAAACCAAGCTGACAATCCTGTAGGTGGCCATATGGACATGAATGCCATCCTCCGAGAAGGGAATGTTGACGCTGGTGGAGAAATCCAGAGGCCGATCGTGCTTGGTCCAGCACCCTTGGACCAAAGCTGACCGTTGAAGATGAAGAATGAGGCCGTCAGGAGCCCCATAAAGGTATTGCCCACCTTCTTCATCAGCCCACTGGTTGACAAGCTCATCCAAGGAGATGGCCGAATCTCCTGGTGGAAACAGCAGGTTGAGGGGAACTTGCTCTCGGTCCTCAAGCCTTCCATCAGGGTGAACATGAAAGAACTTGCCTCCGAAGAAGGTGCTGTCCGCAAAGTTCCACAAGAGGCCTGCAAAATCCCCAACATCCGCTTGAGTACCTTCTGGGAAGTGTTGGAGAATGTGGTGCATTTGATCCAAGTTGCTCAACAAAGATGGTTCGCCAGCCCCCAGAAATTCCCGAACCGCAGCATGCGTCCTGCCCCAAGCGATGGACTGGTCTTCGGCATGAGCTCCGGCCCAACTCCAGCAACGCAGGACGGCATTGGCAAAACACATGTTGTGCGGGTTGGAGAGGATGCTGGTCAAAGCCTGAGCCACAACATAGACGTTCGTGGCAAGATGAGGAACATCTCCTTGAACTGCCAGGAGCTTGTGGAGGGTGTTTTCCATCCTTCTCAAATCAACCAAAAATTGTTGACCCTTGACCAAGGACCAACTCTGCTCGAAGTCTGCCCGCGAGGAGTCAAGATCTCGCTTGCAGATGTCATAGAGGGCCTGTTGGCCTGCCGTCAAAACTGAAGAACCCGGACGATTGATGTCATCATCCATGAGGTCCACCAGAAGAGCCGCGAGCTTAGCCTGTGGGGTCCCGTCGACTGCAGAACCCCGAGAGGTCTGCACTGAGGTAGAGGAACTCGGTGCCCGTGGCCCAACGGCTCTCTGGCCCCGAGGGAGGATCAGAGTGTCCCCCCCTCAACTTGAAAGGAGGAGGCTGGCGCCAAGGACCATAGCCCCCGCGGCTACCCTTGGCTCGTCTCGAGCCTCCCGCTGCAAAAGAATCAACCAAGTTGTCAAAAACCCTGCAACTCGATTGAGAATCCCTGAGTGGCTGATGTCCCGCATCAGCAGCCCCAAAATCACAAGAAGCAAATTGCAAAAGGGAGGAAGCCCTAGGCATCAGGTTACCCACACTGTTGAACCTCCTCCAACATTTTGCGGCGCTTGTTCTCGTCCTCAGTAATGGGAGCCGGAGGGCGCTTCAGCATCGTTGTGAGCTGGGCCTTCTGGTCCTCTGTCAAACTGACCCCAAGGGTCGTGATGAAACCTGCCACCGCGTTGGGCACAGTGTCCTCCATGGAATCCCCTTCATGGAGCTCAGTGGCCGGCTTGCTGGTGTTGACCAAAGCCATGTATGCCGCGGAGGTGGTGTGAAGGGCCCCTTGTTCAGCCTCGAGCTTGCCTTGGATAGTCTTCATCTCCTCGAGCATGTCCCCATAGGTTTTCTTGGCATTGTCCAGCTTCTGTTGCAGGACCTGCTTCTTGTGGGACAGGTCTCGAAGATGTGACACCTGGGCCTTGAGTTTCATGGCCATGTCTTTCTCCGTTTCTGGTGGAGGTTTGGTAATCTTCTCCACCAAGTCCTTCACTGCAGTGGGCAGTTGGGTCATGTTCTCTTTGAGGACACTCGTCAAATCATCAGCCTCCACGGTGGGCGGAGCGGGCTTGATGCCGAGTTGCTCGAGCTGCTGCTGCAATTTGGGTTCCAAGCTGCCCCATGAGCCCATGAGAAGGTCGGTGGTGGCCTTGTGAACCTGTGAGAGTTTGGAGACTCTGCCCCCTCCCAGGCCAGGCGGGGGTGTGATGGGTTTCTGGCGAGGAGCATGACGACCTCGAGGTTGAGATTTCGATCGGTCCCGAAAACCTTGAGCTGGTTGCCGCCAAGCCAGGCCGCATTTGCGGCAAACATACCCTTCAGCCACCTTATCTTCCCAAATCCAGTTGCTGCACTCCGCTCCTCGGCAGCACTGATAGGAGCGGGCCCACGATCCTCTGGTCATGAAGTCCAGCGGGATGGTGTGGCCTCCTTTCTCGGGCTCCAGAGCGATGAACTTCGGGTCGTGTAGTGCCCAGCAAAGTGCTGGCTGCCGCTCTTGAGCCGAGATCTTGAGCCTTGAATGTCACATCCTGTATATACTATTATATAGTATGTCTGTTTGATATTCAATTGATCTCTATCTGCCCATAATTATCTAAAGTTGTGGTCTTCACTGCCCACACGTGTGGTCATCTTGATTTTGCCCAGATCAATGATGAAGTCGCTACTGAAATGGTTGGTTAAAGTTGTGCATTCAATTAATTGAAAATTTATTCAAAATTATTTGCCGCGCCAAACAAAGAGTCAGCGGCATGGCCGTTTCACGCAAAGATGTTCGAGGTTAATAGCACGCAAAAGAGTAGTGTCTCTCCTGAAGCTACAACAAGCACGTCGTTTCTTTGCATGGCCGGCCTGGCCGATGATCACTGCACACAGGCACGCATTCAACAACATGCTCACTCTCCTATACTCTTGATTCTTGATGACGTCTGACATAGCCTTCAAATCCTGCAGCATGAGAGAGCGACAGGAGACAATAGATAATTATAGTTATAGAAATGGGATGAAATGGCCGTGTATGAAGTACCATCCCAGTTCAATCCCTGAAAGAAGGAAAATAGACCCAAACCTGCTGGGGATCTGCATCCTTAACATACACACCCACGTAGTACCCGTAGGTCCGCACGATCACTCTTCAGAACTGGTCCATCAGTCTCCATTGATCATGATCCGGTGCCACGATAGCGCCTTCCCCACGGCAGGCTTGGTGGAGACGATAGCGGACTGCACCTGTAGGGTGGGCTCCGCGCTTGGACATAGATGTGGGGGCTGCAATCGTGTACACTTGTTCCCCATGGATAACACCAAGATGGGTGTGGTTTCAATGCATTTTTGACCGATTTCTTGACGACAAACCACTCATCTACAGAACATTCTGAGGCGTGCGCTGCACGGCAGCCAGCTGGATCACGAGAGTATGGCCAGACCTGGTGGTGAGAACAGAGTCTATCTGTTCCTGGCCATACAGGTCCTAAAATGAATGGCCTTGATGGGCCATCAAAACATGCACCCAAACGCAACGCCTTGATGCATAGTCACCTCTTAGTGGCGGTCACTGTGTCACTGCGTGATGTACTGGTCTGTTGCTGTCTAGAATGCAATCATTATGAAGGTCGTCTGTCTAGTCTTGTCCAAAGAAAACACGGTATAGTTGCAGGTCTCACCTTCTGATCATAGCTTGAGACTCCTGGTGTCCGTTTTCAGCATGGGAGCTGCGTTCCCCAAACCCAGCCAGGTCCTGGTTCTTCCGTTCGTGACCCTGACACAAACCTCGGGTACTTCGGTCACATCAACCTCGGGATAGGTCGGGTCGTTCAGGGACTCCATCCAATTCGGTCACGTGCTGCAGAAGCTGGGGACCTGATGGTAGCTCGGGACCTGATGGTTTGCAGGACACAATGGCATCTCATGCAGCTCACTTGACCCATCCCCATGAAGCGGGATCCGAGGAGGTTTCGCTCACATCATGAGGCCGAAAAGCTAGGAGAGCAAACCTGGATAGATCAATCACCCACGAGGTGATATACGGCTTTATATTTAAGCCACTCTAGGGTCGTTAGCCCTTTTTATTCAGCCCTAGTATATAAAGGGTAGCTCCGGTCAGTTTGGGACACCGCAACACGCACCTCGCTGTGTTTGTCGACACCTCTTGGAAGGTCCTGGTGTATACATGTTTAACATATATGGTTATTCAGCCCACATGGACCTACCTTGAAGGTCCAATGGGGGATATTCAATGATATATATATTTTTATGTGGCTTATAGTAGCATCTGATTGTTTTTTTTTCTTTGAGCCTTTGATCTTCAATTTTCAAGAAAATCCTCCAGTCACTGGCTGCCCAACCCTCCGAGTTCCCTGCCCAGCCCAAGAGTTCGGCATGGGCCAACAAAGAGGACTGGTCCATGTTCGCCGTCTGTCAGTACGGTGCGTTCAGAGCGTTTGGTCGAAATCCACCCGAACGGGGACCGACCAAGACACGCGTTTTTGCCTGGGGCAACAGCAAGGAATGGATCAATTTGGGAGACATCGCTCTTCTTCTTTTAAAGGCTTTGACAAGGACAGGGACATACAACGACACATGTGGTTGGTTCATGTTGGTGTTCACGGCGTTGTTTGCTCCACTCGTCGCTCCTGATGCTTCTCCTCGCGTTCTGAGACACATGTTGATCTTCTAGCCACCTGTTCCACGCACAACCCTGCGAACAGTACTCAAAAAGGGCGTCTCGCATGTAGTATCCCCAAAGCACCTGCTCTTTTTCGCACAGTTCAGCAAAACATGAAGAAAAACAGGATGACATCCAGCAAACGCTCGTTCCAATTGGCTCGTTTCCGGAACAACGGTTGAAGTGATATGCTTCCGGGTGTTCTGCCACGGGAGAGTCCCACAGCATGGTGGACGACCAGTCGGGCGAATCCCATGGGGTCATGACCCTTCCCCAGATGACCTCGATTTGTGAGCCGTTTGGTTTGAACACATTGAGACAAGACTCATGGGACTGGCATCTGACTCCCGAGAAAAGGCCAGGGGTGGTTGACCTGGGGTCAATGTAGGTAAATATGCCACACATAGAGTGTCTGGGAATCATATTAATGTAAACAAATAATTCAATAACAACATCTTAATGAACAGTTATGATACACGTAACGATCTATACATCTTGCTTCCACATGATCTCTCTTCCACATCCACGTCTTGGGCTCTAAATGGCTCTAACTGAAGGGACTAGGGACCACTGGTTTTCGCTTGATCTCTTTCTATGCTTGGAACAATCACGTTCGTCAACTCAGGGACGCCCTGCAGTTTCGGTGTCTGAAACATGAAAGATCACAAACAGTGAGTGGATGCTTCAGAGCAAACAGTGAAAGGTCAGGGGTCAGCATGTTCTCCCTTCAGAAGCTGAATGAAGCTGCACATTGACATAAACCTATCTGCAACTATTAATTATTATGGGAATACCACACGGAATACCATGGATTCTACCACAATGGATGATCCAGTTCCCCCAGATTTCAAGCTCCACTGATCTGCCAATCCTCCATCTCTCCACGTCGTCCCAGTTTTCCTGGGCCTCGAAGCGCTCACGCAGCTTGACCAACTGGTTGGCATCCAAGGGAAGTGGCTCCTGGTCGTCATCCACTTGGTGAGAAGAGAAGACTCCACATGACCGGGTGATGGCTCGTAGGTCGGTGAGGTAGTCGAAGACATCCGTGAGGTCGGTGTGTTCAACTGAAAGTCACAACTGGAAAGACTGGGACCAGTCGGGGCCCACACAAGAGGTCATGATGAGGTCATGATCATGTCGTGAGAAAGGTTTGGACTGCGTTCTCGGTTGAAACTGTAACACTGTTTTAAGCAAACATCATTGCCCAGTTCTCACACACACAGATTGGGGAAACACGACCACTTCTTTTCTCCATGAAGCCGGTCATGAGAGGACTCAAGGACACTCCAACAAGTATGGAACCCAATAGCAATGGCCTCCAACCTACTAGCGATGGCCAACCTACAAGCGATGGCCTCCAACCTGCTAGCGATGGCCTCCAACCTAGTACAAAGCAATTTCGCAGGTCCATCTTGGTCTGTGATGGTTCCATGTCGGAACCAAGGTGGAACCCCCCTGCCAACATGGCTTTGAGATCCTCCGATGACATTGTAAACGGCAGCATGACCGTCTGTAAAAAGGCCCTGTATGGTGTCGAAATGAGTTCTTAATGGAAAGCCCCGAGATTTTTGCAGTCTTCACCAGCGTTTCAATTGATGTTCATCTTTGTTGTTTTTTCAAGTTAAAAGATATTCTCCCACACAAACAGTTTCATCCACTTGACGCCCTCGAAATCCATCTATCCGTTGATCCGGCTTCTTTTTTTGCAATGCCGCCGATTGAATTTTGGCGGGTGTCCGGATACATTGCAAGATATTGCAAGTATCATTGATCAAATTAAGTGTTTTTTTGCTGTTGTTCCTCGTCTTAATAAGGTCAACGCAGTGGTCAACGCATTTCTCTTTCTCGAAGCCCAGTTCGGGGCCCTGCGCCTCGGCGTAGCGATTGGGAACCATTCCAGGAGCCTCACAAGCTGCGACGAAAGGAAGCTCGCGCGACGATTCCAGCTGCCAACGACATATGAACTTTTCGAAGAGGAATTTGGTGATTCAGATTCAGATGTTGGTCAGATCAGAATGTGGCTGACCGGTATGTCTGACACGGAGCTGCGTGAGCTGGGTTCTGTCACTGAGGATCCAAAAATCACAAGCAGCCATATCCTCTCGTATCTTCTCAAAGTGGTTTTGAGCTTGGGGCTTCGGCATGCTTTGGCTTTTTGAGTAGAACTTGTGCAGGGGGATAAACCAAAGCTTCAGACATGAATTCATAACGACGAAAGGAGATGAAAACAATCTGGTAGGGCAGGGGGGGTCTTCTCGTCATTTCTCGTCATCCTCGGTCATGAAGAATATGGAGCAAAGGCGAGGCATGAACTTTCGGAAATGTGGAAGAATTCAAAGTATTTCAATGGGTGAAGTGTTCATGCTTTCAACACGACTTACAGTCTACATATGTCTACATATACTTTATGTATCTTTTTATAGTCCCAGTGTGTCCCAGTGATTCTAGACTAGACAGTGGAAATGTTCTTCAATTTGTAGGACTGTATGAGGCACTGTGAGGCCTACAGGTTCTGTCGTCGGTGCTGTTTGCCCAAGTCTTTGTCAAGTCTTTCAGGGTAAAGGTGCTTGATTCCCCGAATGCCACCGAGCTGTTCCCCTTAGTGGCTCAAGTCATTGACAGCCCCACTGGTGAAGGCTGCGGAGTTGCAAGGTAGCCAGCTGCGCACAGTGGGCATTGAATCAAAGCTTCAAATATGCAACCGTGAATTGTCCAGAATTCCATAGAATTCCAAAAGCTGTTCGAATTCTTCCATTGCCCCTTCCGCCACTCCCCCCTGCGTCCTCCCGCCCTCCTTCGGCTGTGCGTGGCGTGGCTTCCTTCGGCGGGAGTTCTTGCCCTTGGAGCAACGCCGCTGGGAGGCATGGAGGACACAAACCTGACCCCGAGCCATATCCTGTAAAATAACTATAGGGTTATATAATGTCTTTTTCCACAAGTTTAGTACTGTAGTGAAACCAACCCCCCCAAAAAAGGCCATAGAAAAGGTTATGCATTATGAGTTATGCTGTGGAACAAATGTTGATCTCTACCATCTGGGCGGGTAGTGGATGTCAACACTGATTGCGTGTGGTCGTAGTTGGTCCAACTCAATCTGGGACCATCTGTTTTCACAACCTCTGACCCATCTTGGAGAATCGAAGGCGGTCAGAACTGTCCAGTTGCCGCACGACTTGCGTTGCAGAGGTCTGTTGCCTGGTCTGAGACGGTCCGTTATAACACGCACGACCGAGTCCCGGACACCGAGTCCACACGACCGAGACACGGACGACTCGGTGGACACCGGAACTCCGGAGCCGGAACTCCCACGCGTCGGAGTCGATGGACTTTGGTTGGGAGGATGTGATGTGATGCGAACGGGCGTAAGAAACTCAGATGGACCGGGTGAAGGCTGATCGAGGCTGATGAGTTTGGAGCATGACTCGAAAGAAAGACAAGGCCCGAAAGGGCATCGCGTGTTCCATTTCCTAGGCACGTGCAAACTGAACACGTTTTCTTTCTTCATACCCGTCCCAAGATAGTCCATGTTCGTAACGGTATGTTTATCAACAACTGTTCAACATGGCAAAGCTCGAAAACAAACCTCTTTTATTATGGTCGTTTTCTACGTAGAAAAGCATTAAAAAAATGGACCCAATCGAATCAATAAACGACAAAACATCTCTTCCTTGGGCTCGCCACATAGGCACCGTTGTAGTCATAGGCATCGTAGACGATGCCATTCCTTTTTCTGGAGGTACCGTTGCTCGACGGTTGCACACCGAGGGAACGGGGTCTTTGACGCGTCCGTCGTCCGCCGGGCTGAGGGGAAGACGCGGTGCCAGGGTTTGGAAGGAAACTGGTTCCGAGATGGTACCCATATTTTTGGGGGTGAACTCGGATGAGCGAGAAACTCGGATGAGCGAGATCGGGGTTGCGAGATGGGGGTTGCCGCCCCCCCCGCATGCATGGGGTGGGGTCATGAACTTTCGGAAGGAGCTGATATTGTGCTTCGCAGGCCCCCTCTGCCTGCTCGGCTTTTAAATGGGAATTAAAACGGTCGAGGCAATTAAAACGGTCGAGGCACTCGGACGAACGGGTGACCGAAAGGGTCAGTTCGGTGGGCGTTTTAGGACGATGGGCGCTGATTTTGTTATATAGGACTCTACTTGAAGTTTCTCACGTGGTACACATTGGTCAAGCTTTTCGGAGGTTGCTTGCTGACTCTCACCACTGCGACCCGACAGTTAGTTTGTGTAGGCCAGTCCTCAAAAATGTTGCTGGGAAACAGATTTGCAGATCCTGATTCATCACAAATTCAACGGGAACGTGAGCACAGCAAAACCATGCAAACAACCAATTGTTTCCAAAAAAAACATTGTTTCCACTGGTTTTCCTTAAAGCCATGCATTGTTTCCAAAAACCATGCAAAAAAAACATTGTTTCCAAGGATCTTTCCGTTCAGGTTCCTTTCTCTCCCCGCTTTCCGATGGGAAAACCCATCGACCCACCATCGATCGACCCACCTCGACCGCAAGGTCGGTCGGAGCTTTAAGGGTGAACTCCTGAGGTTCGGGCTCTGCGGCTTGGTAGTTCATGGAGCCTTGCGCAGGCCACTGCATGTCCTTGCGTTGTTTCTCGCACCGAAAGGGCGCGCCAAAGGCCAGAGGCAAAAGTGGGTTGACAAGTGGCTACTTCACCTATTCAATGATTCTACACCACCCTCCACTACAGGGATCTCCATCGGTTGGAAGTTGGAAGGTCCAGGTGTGCTTGCAGCAGCCTCCAGCCGCCTTCGTCGCACTAAACACGACTGGTTGATTGAAGACTTCGACTGCCATTCTCTTGGAGATGATCCACAAACGATTCCAAGTACTGTAGTATTCCCAGCATGCAGAATCGGTAAATCCGTGTAAATTGCGGCATATACAGTATGACTTAGTATGTGGATCTATATATTCAACAGCATTCAGCATGCATTTATCACTCCGAGCTATAGACATTTGTGGACAGGGTTTTCTCTTAAACCCCTTCCTTCAAGACTTGAGAGTTCGGGCCTGGGGCGGCTCAGCGCACCACACTGACCGGGTGCCTCAAGGGTGCCCCTCCGTCCCTGGAACGTCGGCAGATGTCAAGGCCGCTTCGCCCCGGTCTACAGGAGGTCTACAGGATGTCCTCCAGGTCCATGCAGGTCTTTTAGCTGGGACCTCATGAGGCGCCCCCCCGCACCGCTCCACTGCATCGCTCGCCGCAGCCTCCGCCCGTCGGGTCTCCTGCCCCCAGGGGCTCGCCGCATAGCCCTCGGAGGGCGTCTGGCTGGCGACGGGAGAGACCTGCGAGAAAGGCGAGCCTGTGACCCGCCTGCGCCCCCTCAATCGCACATCACCATCACATACCCTCCTTGCAACCAGCATGGAAGTGGACTTCACCCTCTGTTTGGTCTGAGAATTCCAGGGGCCAGCACATCCACCACCACCGATGTGGGGTCTCGTTTCGGCTCCTCCGCCGATGCGGCGCCTGTGGCTGGGGCATCATCATAGCTGCAGGCACCTCGGAGGGACGGAGGACGGGCCCATTTTCGACCGCCGGGTTTCGGCGCGGCGTTGTCCAGCTCCGTGATGGGCGGGCGGTCCAGGGACCTTCAAGCGGTGTCGATCATGCAAAAGGTGTCGAGATGCGTCGAGGGTGCCGTCGCATCTCAGGCTGAGGCATTCAACTCGGTGGTCAGTTGTTCTGTTCATTGAGTTGGCATCTCCAGAAACACTTTCTGTTCAAAAGAAATTCCCTATACCAGTGGGGTAGTAGTCGCCGTACAATCCTGGCACTTGTGCTGTTTGGTCAATTTGGAATATTGGGAGGCTGTTGAAAGTATATCATGGTGTGTGTTCTTGGTCTGTACATCGGCTACCATGGACCATATACCCCAAGTAATTCTATGTCGAAATTCTGATGTTGCCCTGGTTCTCCTAGGGGTCCAATCGCCATCAAACACCGCTTGGTCCTTCCAGATCAGCAAGCGAGGCACCAGCATCATCGCCACCAAGCGAGGCTGGGTCATATCCTCCCGGAATGTTCGGTTCAGTTGGGACAGGGAAGTAAGTTGGTCTCCGCATGGTCGGTTTCCCAAGCCTAGTACAAGTGAAACGACTCGCAAAGGTGTTCGATGCAGTTTGCCTTTGGTTACCAACAAAAATCTGTGATCACCCGTGCATGTACATCCTCAAGCCATTCACCTATAGCGATGGCCGAGTGCCGTTCTTGACCGATGCACTGGAAAACGTACCCGTGGACCGTACCGGAGGTCCGTCTGTCCGTCGTGGCGAAGACTCGTCTGAGAGTGGCGTTGTGTGCGTGTTCCTCATATCGTACATGATTGAGAGTAGATGGCACAGACCCCAAGAGGTGATATATATATATATATATATATATTAAAGGACATCTTGAGGTCTGTGCCATCTACTCTGAAACCACTGTAGGTAGATACAGATTACAAGGTAGAACATCAAAAACCACCAAGGAAATACCTCTTTACACCGCCAAAACCAACGTTGAATATGTCTGAGTCCTTTAGTCCGTCTTCACGGTACAAACTCAAGGCCTTCATCCTATCAAGGGCGACCTTCTAGCCAAGATTTAGGACAGTTCCTTGCAACAAATGCCCTTCAGTCCCTTGAAGGCCAGGAAGAAGGTCCTTTGAAGTTCCTTTCAACAAACCCTCAAACACGGCCGACGGAAGATGAGCCAAGATAAGCCAAGTGGTCAGTGGTACCCTTGTTGCAAGTGCTCAGCAAGTCCTTTGAGTTTGAGCTCGCTCTGTTTGGGCTGTCTGAGTTCCTGGGCGTCTCCCCTTTAAGCACCGGCATTGTCACCAACCCTGGACCATCCGGAGCCTGGGTGTCCTGGCTGGACTACCCTGCACTACTTAGAGATCTCCAAACAGGGCACCCCGACAGGGAGGTCCTGGTTGGTAGTCATCTTTGTTCCCTTTTCGACACCCCACGTGGAAACCTTGGGGTAGGTTGAGATAAGTATGTCCAACGTAGAGACTGCAAAAGAACAATGCTAGTATCTCCACCACCAGTGAATTGGTCATGTGCTGAGATTGACGTCCATTTTTCGGGAGCCCCAAATAAGATATCGAAAAGTAGATCCCCACTAAAAATGTATTGGACACCGTTTCTACCTATTTGGGCATCACTATACTTCAACCAGGTCTGCGAACCTTGCCACATGCCCACTATTTTTGAGATGTACCCACGCCGTTTCCTGCTGCATCGTTGGAAGCTGCATGGGGAGCATGGTGGGCTCCTGAATGGCCATCACTTCGCACCTCGGTAGCTTCGGAGCACAGCCGATGCCCTCCATACCAAACGGATCAGGATATTAGTCGATGCAGCGATGCTACTGCTGTCAGCCAAAAAAAGCCTCAGTCTTCGAGCCCATGGGGATCTGCCGAGCGTGGGAATTCTTGGGTTCTACGTGGTTATAAAGTTTGTATGGTTGTGGTTTTACATCCATTCTGACGATTCTGAAATCTAAATCATTGAATACTTGGCAACGGGCGTCTCCAGGATACAACTTTATGCGTAGATCCACTGTGATCACTTGTGCAAATCTCACTAGGCTTGTGTGGCAGCAGCTTCTTGCAATGCTTTTCTTGCATCTCTCATGGCCGGTGTTCGGGGGCGTGCATGGTTAAATTAGGTCAACTCTCTGTGGGCTGCAATTGCAGTTGCTCAAAAGGTTGGATTTCCGCTCAAAAGGTGGAAGACCACCTTCTCTTCGAGGTCTGTCAAGATCATCTCCGGTGAATCTGTCAAGATCTGTCAAGTAAGCCGAGCGAAACTGGACACCTCGGACGATTGGTCACTATAGAATAAACTTGGTTGCGCCAGGAGAGGAAAACACCGTCACAGACGGGGATTTGTGAGCCCCCGTTTTGGCACCTGATGCCCACTGCAAATCATAACAGATCATAACACCAACTGGCGAAGGTCCACGTCCCAAAGGATGACGCCTGCCGCACCTACATGTCAAACCTGATACATGTTAAAAGATTTGAAAGGTACTAATAGTAGATCTTTGAACACTGGCAGTGTCAAGCAGCCCAACACATACCTACAATGGGCTGAAATGCTAGTCAATCTGCACTTGGATCGAAATGGCAAGACTTGGATACGTAAGCTTCCAACATGACTACCAATCCATCCAGTTGATCGAAGAGATCGTGCACAGACCCTGAGATGAGGGTGGCCTCCCGGCCTCCCTTCCTGCGTTAGGGTGGCTTCCCTGGTGGTAGACGGATTCATCACAAGTAGCTTCATCCCACATGATTCGCCCCACGCTCAGGATCAGCACTGAGTCAGGGACGCCATGTCGAATTTGCAAGTACAGGAAGTCTGAAGAACACCACAAAGGGTAACCGGACTTTGCTTCTTTGAATTGAGAATGGCTGGCCGGCGCAAGATGGCATGTCCCACCGTCAGAAGATGGAAATCAAACAGACAAAGAGATCCAAACACTGAGGCCTATACCCACATTCTGTCTGATTCCATATTCTCAAAGCTATACCACATCATGAATACTTGAAGCTTTTCCCAAACCCACCTAACTCTCTGCATGTCCGACAGTCATGGACTGCAGACCATCGACCCGTGGAAGACCATGCCGCGGACTGCCGATCGCACCCCATCCGTGGGTGCATGGGACTGCGGACTGCCGATCAGTTGGAGTGGTGGCAGTGGTGGGGGGTCAATGTAGGCATATGGCAGTCCCATGGAGTGTTTGGGGGACTTCAAAGCTTGCTGTGATGGGCGGGGCCAGTCCAAACACACGCATGGCACCGTCCGACGTGGAAGGCGGAATGTCCCCCGCACCGTCCGACGGTCGTTCAGAACAGGTCCCATCGAGGCGATCCGAACAACGACATCGAATGCGTGTTCCCACTGGGTGTGATCACTGATGGCTGACTCAGAAATCGACACTGATGGCTGACTCAGAAGTCGACACTGATGGCTGACTCAG